TTGGTAAGAATTGTGCACATCAGAGCGCTAACAAGACCGGACGGACGGACGGACGGACGCCCGGTATATCTATGTCCCCCGACACGCGTTGTGCGGGGGATAATAATTTGTTACTAAGGTGTGCTATTTTTTGCTTATGAATACAAACGTTTTTGTATCGCATAATTTGTAAAGATATCGTCATATTTTTCGGTAAAAACGCTCTAGGCCTCTTTGTTGTTAGGGATGAGGGATCGATAAATACCCTGCCACGTCCGGTCTGTATTTTTGTTTGATGTTTTTCTGCTTTGTATGGATCTGATGAGTGAAGCCTTTTTCAACTGATTTTTATAGTTTGTTCTTATGTTGTGCTGCTACGCCACTGTCCCAGATTAAGGGAGGGATGAGCGCTCTCAAACATCCCCGCCACGTTCTTTATGTGCCTGTCCCAAGTCAGGAGCCTGTAGTTCAGTGGTTGTCGTTTGTTCATGTCTGTCATATTTGTTTTTTTGGTAAATTGTTTTGTTATAAATTAGGCCGTTAGTTTTCCCAACTAAATTGTTTCATATTTTTTATGTCGAGGCCTTTTATAGCCGACAATACGGTATGGGTTTTTCTCATTGTTGAAGGCCGTATGGTTGCCTGTAATTGCTTACATCAACTTCTTTTTAACTTTGCCGGATGGTTGTCTCATTGGTAATCATACCACACCTCCTTATTTTTATATAGATCCTCTAAATTCGCTTATGAATAGAGATTGCCTCAACTCCTTGAAAACAAATTAACGGAATTTCCAGAAACTTGCACTGATTCTTCTTCAGGTTGGACATTAGGTTGTGCACCTGCTACTTTAACTTTTAGCTTGATATTTTGTGTATGGGTTGGGAGGGTCAAATACCACAAAGAAGATCACTCAGTGTGACTGAAAATCGTTCATATTAAGTAGTTTTTTTATATATAAAAAGAGCAAGATGTGCTATGATTGCCAATGAGACAACTCTCCATCAGAGACCAAATGACGTAAAACTGAAGTTAACAACTATATGTCACAGTACGGCCTTCAAAAATGAGCAAAACCCATACACTATAGTAAGCTATATAAGCCGAGAAATGAAAAATGTAAAACAATTCATACGAGAAAACTAACTGCCTGATGTCATTGAGTTGTCGTTTGTTATTGCTTTTGTTTCCTTATTTATATTTTGATAAAAATGTAGAGCCTTTTAAAATTACTATAAATAGAAGTTCGTTATATTATTTCTGACTGTATCTGTCATCACTCAGTCTCTATAAAAGACATTCGTTTATATTTTTATCTCTGACCCTGTATTAGTATTTTCACCACTGCTGTTGCATATGGATAATATCAGACCTCACGCCCAAACATTTAATCTTTCAGAATCGTCATCATACCGCTAAAAATATTTTTATAACTTAAAAATAAAATGTTTGTCCCTTACAGAACTGAAATGTTTGCAGCAGATCTGCTGCAAAAAGTTAAATCACAAAATTTCTGAACTCCGAGGAAAATTCAAAACGGAAAGTCCTCAACCAAATGGCAAAACCAAAATCACAAACACATCAAACGAATGGACAACAACTGTCATATTCCTGACTTGGTACAGGCATTTTCTTATGTAGAAAATGGTGGATTGAACCTGGTTTTATAGCGCTAAACCTCTCACTTGTATGAAAGTCGCATCAAATTCCGTTATATTGACAACGATGCGTGAATAAAACAAACAGACAAAATAGGTACAAATCTCAAAATAGCGGTACAGCAGTCAACACCGAGTCACAATCTTAATCACAAAAAAAAAACCAAACAAATATTTAACAAAGAAGCACAAAAAAGCATATATCACATTTAACAACCTCATTCATTGCTTACTTATTTTTGTATTTCATTTATGTATGCCAAATCAACCCATAAAGGATCGAGAGATTTTAAGCATTGGGCCGAACTTGCTGCGGGTGTGCTGCAAACAAAAAGCTTGCAGGAACCCTATGAATAATGTTTGCAGATGTTTGCAGCTAGCTGCAAACCTCCTGCAAACATTGCAGCTTTTTGCTGCAATCTTGCGGCAAGTTTGCAGAAACAAATATGTTTGCAGTAAGATTGCAGGAAAAACTAGAATATAAGGGATGTTCGCAGCTAGATTGCAGAAATATTTGACAATTCTAAATGTTTGCAAGAGCATTGCAAGAACTACATAAAATGACTGAGCATGTCTATTGGTAACTTCCTGGAAGATAAAGATTTGAAATTTGAAAATGTTAATTGTGTTTGAGTCATGTTATATATTAGTGTTCAGGGAGGCATTTTAGTTTGGAAATTAAAAGTTTAGTTTTCAAAGACCTTATTTGTAAGTACAAATTATTCATAGAAGTGTAAACTTATGAAATTCGTCCCCTTCACAAATATCTGCATGCATGAAGGTTTGAAAAACATTTTCAAATATGTAACCATGCAATATACAGTACTCTCTATTATATTTGGAGATTGTAACTTATTAAATATTTTCTTGTAATAAGTAAGGTTGAATTTTGTGACTATTTTAAATTAAAAAGCTGTATACATGCACAATCTAAATTTCAAATAAACCCTTTTTTTGAATTTTAGATATTCATTCATGCAATTCATTGAAGCACGTACTTGAACGACAAAAAACACTTTAAATTGATTTTTAAAAGGTATTAACTTATGCTATGATAATTTTTCACATGATAAAGTATTTAAATTATTGCATGTATGTATGTAACATAACTTTTTCAGAATTGTTGTGTAATATAAATAATGTAATGTGTACACAACATGACATTGGTTGATTGTATAACATATGTAGTTCCTGCAAGTTTGCAGCAAACACGCAGGAGAAAGAAAAATTTGTATATAAATGTTTGCAGCAGGTCTGCAGCAAACACTCATTTACATGGTAAATTGTTTGCGGCAGACCTGCAGCGTATTTGCAGCAAACATGCCGCAAATACAGACTCTGTTTTCGTTGCAAGTCTGCAGCAAGTTCGTTGCAGACTTGCAGCAAATGTTTGCAGGAGGCTGATTTTTTCAGTTAGGGGTAGCATCTTATATGTGCATTTTACACATCCGAACGATTCTAAGGTTCAGTTTGTTTTTCTTTAATCTATTTTCTATTTAATTTAATTTGTATTTTGATAACGATAAAGGAAAGTTTGTTCCGATATTTTATCAATTAAAGTAATGGACTTCTAATTATAATTCCATTTTTGCTATTTGAAATGAAAAAGGAACAATTTTAGAAACTCCTTGTTTGTTCACATCTTTCCTGGGCGTAGAATTTTAACTGCTGCTTAAACAGACTTTGATCTTTTTTAATCACGCTAAAATGGCTCAGTTTTAAAACGCCCTATCCATTGACCGTCACTTAATCTGCAATGTGAACCCAGCTTGTAATTTAGAAAACTGAACATATGCGACGCTAATTTGATTAACTACTGATGTAGGATATCAATCCGCCTCGATTAACACTTATCTCTATAGCAACTGTAAAACGCTAATACATATTCATTAGATCAATTAATTACCTATTACGCCGGCGGCTATAGAAAAGAGATGTATTTCGAAAAGACAGAAGGCATTTCCGGTATTCCGAAAACTCTGACCTTTTGTCACGTGACCAAAACCTTGACCTTAGAGGCCATTAAATCGTTTGTCGTCCAACTATAACAACTTCAATTAACAGGGCCAGTTATGTAATAAAACGGAATAATATGATAGAAAGGAATGAAAGCGTTATTAAAGTGATCATTCAATGCATGACTGCCAAAAGACTTCCACATGACTGCTACGCTTAAACGACACTGTAATAGGTACGATTCATGTAAACAAAGTTGCATTAAAATATAGTATCACTGCTAAAAGTTTGTAATACATCCTTGAAATCAACTTTTCGTCTACTAATTTAAAATTACCGCCAAACGATATTCATTCGCATTTTTGTCATTTGGCAAATGTAAACGCCTTGTATTTAGAATTTTTAGGCGATGAAATATTTCATACAATTGTTCTTTAACATCGATCGTTATTAAAAGCACAGAAGATAAAAAAAAACAATGTAAGGCTTTCCATAGGGCACTATTTCCAATGTGCTACTACATTGATTTTGGGTTGTTCGACGATCATTTAAGGTTATTCTAGACATATTTAATGTATTCCAGAACTAAAAGCAAGAAAAAAGTGTCCAATTAGTTATACATTACCTACCAGCCTGCTGGAATAGACAATGGCACCGATTTCAGAATTCCAGGGGGGAGCAAATCTAGAGTGCTAGCATAAGGCAGCTTAACTGTCTAATAATTGGTAAAAAATTTCAAAAGATTAAAGCCCAAATTCATTTCAAACCTCAGTACGACATCCCTCCTACCGAACAATTGATCTACTATATTGAAGTATCCACCATATTCCTGATTTCAATACAAATACTATCAAAGAAAGAGGATTGATTTAGAAAGATGTTATCACCAAAATCTATATTATAGCTTGTATTATATCCAATGCATTGTTCTATTTAAATTAATGCTCATATTTGTATATTGTCATATTGTATTATGAAGAAGACTTCATAAGAATGTTTTACTTGTATCTAATCCATTTTGCTTAAATTGATCAAATAAAATATATCAAAACAAATTCTGATCTGAGGGACGAAATTGTCCAATATATATGCATGTTCCATGCCTCCCCTACACCATGTGTCTTATGCTGCTTTATTAATGTGTATTATCAAAAGTGTTATTGTCTGATCAGTTTGGTGTTAACAAATGTCTGTTGATGTTTTGTGTCGTTTGGTTTCTGTCCCATTACTAATCTCCACGTCATTTATAACTGTTGCATATAATATATATTTTTGAACAACGTAATTTGATCATAAAATTTTGTATCTTAGGGTGTTAGCGTCCGGCTTACCAAACCATAAGCCTGGTATCTTTGATGGCTTACCAAATCAGAAGCCTAGTATCTTTGATGGGTTATTACAACCTACCCAATTTAACATTAGCTGACTTTGAGATTCCGACTAAGTAATATCCACCATCGGCGGCTGGTCCTAACACCATGTCAGATCCGTTCTGTAGTTTGTGGTATGCTTCTGATATTACATTTGAATTTATTCCAGGAATATCACTACCTGCATTTTATATTTAAAAAAGACATAATAGATTCATCAAATAATTGAATGTTGCTGTTGAAGGTATTTTGATGTTCTTCTAATACATTTTTGGAATCAATACTTAGAATTTGCCAAAATATATGCGACTGTCCTACGGGGGTCTCATTGGGGGGTTCTGATCCCGGATCCCGCTTACTGTTTTGTCAGATTCCCGTATCCCGCTAGACTTCATTTCCTGTTTTCACGGCACAATAATTTGACTTTCACGTGTCACGCTTACAAAAAATCGGCAATCCCGGGTCACGCTTAGACCCCAATGAGACCCACTCCTACAAGTGAGAGGTTTAGCTAGCTATAAAACCAGGTTTAATCCACCATTTTCTACATAAGGAAATGCCTGTACCAAGTCAGGAATATGACAGTTGTTTTCCATTCGTTTGATGTGTTTGAGCTTTTGATTTTGCTATTTGATAAGGGACTTTCCGTTTTGAATTTTCCTTGGAGTTCTGTATTTTTGTTATTTTACTTTTTATAATTACGGTCAAGGCACAATAACTGGGCTATGTCACACATACACAAAATAAGCATGCCTTTATCTCGATTATTTTTCTAAAATATTACTTAATGAAGTCTTTCAAAATTAAGTGAACATATGTATGGAAAGCACATAAAATCTGCGAAAAACGTTCTTAAATTTGTCTTCAAATAATCAAATCTCCAATTTCAATTCCATAGATTTTTGGTATCTTAAGTTATTTGTACATCTCGTCTAACTGATCATATTTGCTGTTCAAAGTATCTCTTCGTTTATTTTTAGTTTTGAAGAAACAAAAAAAAAAGGTAAACATTTCAATAAAAGGCCCCGGACATGAATGAAACATGTGAAACAATTCAAATAAAAAAAAACCAACAGCCTAATTAATAACAAAACAATTTACGAAAAGCAAATATGACAGACATGTATCAACGACAACCACTGAACTACATGCTCATGACTTGGTATAGGCACATAAAGAATGTGGCGGGGTTAAAATAAAACATGTTTGTGAGCGCTCAACCCCCCCCCCCCCCCCCCCCCCCTCCCCCTCACCTGGGACAGTGATGTAAAAGCATAACATAAAAACAAACTGTAAAAATCAGTTTCAATTCGCTTAACTCAAAAGATCGTATACTACATATGTTCAATATGTGAACTTGTACTAGACAGTTCTTTACATATAGTATGTATTATCAATTAAAGAATTTTAACGTACTAATAATTCGGTTTAGATACGGTTTTATGATCTTTATATAGTTAAATTTACGCCTTACTGGACACTTCATACCTTTACTTTTTACCACGCATGATAGGTTAAAATGTTTGTTGGCAGAAAATTGTTCTTACCTATATATTTTCGACCTTCGGTTTTCTTGAACAAAAGAAAACTGAATAGTTAAAATGCCATCTCTCGGTCGATATCGCAGTAAATAAAAGCACCAGACCTTGTAGTTAACTGACAGATATACCTCAGTAAAGTCATATTTTCAATTTGATTACATCTACCAATAACTTACACGTGTTACAAGTTTCTATTAAGCTATTTTGTTTACTTGTTTTGTTTTGTTGCTGACCTTGAAAAAAAAAACAGAAAATGTTGGATAGGTCGTCGATCTCGACTGATACGTTTGAAAAGAATGTCTTTTGTTTGCCGTAGTTATATATATATATATATACGGATACTTATCAATTCGAACTATTCTTTTTAAAGAAACGAGCCTTAAACTTTTAGCGAATTTTACTAAACTTAAAAGCGTCAATGATTAGGATTGTTCCTTGCAATTATAGAGGATTTTCTCTTACAAGAAAGTACTCGTTTACTTGTTTTGTAGTATCATATGACTTTAATTTTAATAATGACAAAATTTGAAGAGAAAAATTGACGATCTCTGTACCGTTGTCTCTGTGTACAGTTACTTGGTGATAGAGAGTACAGCTACTTGCGGTTCTTAAATTACAATTTTGACTTAATTGTCATGTGTTACCTTAAAACAAATCTTTTAAGGGGGATTTTAAGGAGGATTACTCGATTTACGTACATGTACCCCTAGGCCCGTCACTTGAAAAAAAAACCATTAAGGTCGATTATAAGAGTCCTACAATGACTATTGTGCATTATTTTAATAAATTTTATACTTGTAGATCAATATTAATATATAATTGTTTCATCTTTAAAGAGGATTGAGCGATGGAAAATGGTTAGCACCGTAAATATTCTGTATTTACATATCCCTAGTCAGGCGCCTGTAATGCAATGGTTGTCCTCTGTTGTTTTTCTATCATATTTGTTTTTATTCCATCATTCTTTTAAATATATGATACAGGCTGTTGGTTTTCTCGTTGAGTTATTGTCATACAAGTGAGAGGTTTAGCTAACTATAAAACCACGTTTAACCCACCATTTTCTACATACATAAGGAAATGCCTGTACCAAGTCAGGAATATTACAGTTTTTTTCCATTCGTTTGATGTGTTTGAGCTTTTGATTTTGACATTTGATGGGGGATTTCCATTTTGAATTTTCCTTGGAGTTCGGTATTTTTGTTATTCTACTTTTTCATATTTTGTAATGTCAGTGTCTTTTTAAGCTTAGTTTACAGTATGGAATTTTGCACATTGTTGAAGGTATAATGTTGCTAAAGTTGCTTACTTCTACAATTTGTATATGGATAGTTGTTTCATCAACATTCATGCCACATCATTTTCCTTATTTTCAATACATGTAAAAAAAAAAATTAGTGGAGCGAAAAAAAAATCTTTGTACTAAACAAAATCATTGTCTTCGATTGATTGTTGCTTGCCTTAATTCCGAAAGGAAATGTTTCATGCATGTTAGGGACGAAAACGTCAAGTTAACAACTATTAAAAGGGACGACCAAGATGAAGGAGAGTAATTCCGAAGGCCCTAGAAAATGAGCATATACTGGATGTGGACAGAAGCCTTACAACTGGCCATCAACGGACCCAAAGAGTTATTGTGAGGTGTCTTTAATGTGCCTTCTTTCTGTACGAGAGTGGATTTAAAGTCCCCATTCTGATTGCATTTTGCTGTGAATTTAAAGACACCAACAATCAAACGAACGCCAAACTTTGACAAGGATTGTACTGTTGTTAGCAATATGACAACACATTAACTTCTAAATTATTGTCTTTTAAATCAGCACACTCGTTAATTTCCAATTTATGAATGTCTTTAAATGCCATTTATAGTACAACATATTTGTTTATTTTTACAATACCAGGTACACTTAATACCAATTACCAGTACACCTAGTCTTCAGTTAAAACAAAAACATTTATGCTGATTTGAAGCATTCGTTAAAAAAAAAACTCTGCAAAGCAACGTATATCATAATAAATAAATCCGATGCCTAGTGTAGAGAGAGTGTGTCACGCTATCTGCACGTTAGGAACTCTTTGTGGGGTCCGTAGGTGACCTGTTGCAAGACTTAATTGATGTCCCTATCCAATATACCCTAACTTTCCAGTGGCAGTCTAAATTCCCAGACGGACCCAATTACAACACCAACCTATTGTATTTATTGTTAATTTGTTCTCACAAGAACATGCATGAGATATTTGCCACTGGACATTCAGCAACCAAAAATCAATCAAGCCACTAGCTTCACAAAATCTTACTTTCATAATGCCTTTGTGTACCTCCTTTTCTATTTCTTGTTGCGAACATTCTGCATAGTTATATACATGTACATAACAAAAAATAGACTTCCCCACATCTAATCAAATGGGAGCGAAAGGTGTGACTCCTAGTTTATTTTATAGTAATTTAAACTTTCCAATGTTTTAGCATTGTAATTTTCTGGTTTGGCACTTGCAAACGAGAAATGTTCATTTTGTTTGTCCTTTCTAAGAAAAAAAACATATCATTTTTTTTTTCGTGCATGATATATCACACCGTGCAAAAATAAGTAAGATTTTTTTTCTTTTTTTTTTAATATTAGTATTTATAAAGTTTTTTTTATCTTTTCTTGTGTGTGTGTATTTGTTGGGTTTCTTTTAAATTTTTTTCTTCATTTGAACGATACGGTTTTTTTTCATCTTTTCTTGTGTGTGTATTGTTGGATTTCTTTCTATTTTTATTTTTTTATTTGGACGATATGGTAAGCTTAAAGCCATTGGAAATTTGTAGGATAAAAACTTATAATTTCAATATTTTTACAAAACACTGCTTATTTACCTATTACTATAGTATATTTTGAGTTCCTATTAAAGCTGTCTTGGAATGCACTTGATAGTTTGTTTCCTAAACCTCCTTTGGCTTGCTGCTGCCATGTAACATCATATTTCCTTCGTCCTAACCAATATTTCATTTGACTATCTGTCCCGCCATTATAGTATACTTTCACAGAAATATCATCATCTTTCCGATAGTAATCTTCTATGTTGTTTAAAATATGATCAGTCTTCAAAAGCAATAAAACAATTCATTATAATGAAATACATTATGTACCAGCTAGACAAAGATACATAGCTTACGTTAGGACTAGACTATTTTTACTTTAAGTATCTCCTAGAATACTTAAACGCTAACAAGATTGTGATTTGTGAGGCATAAAACAGTATTTTATTTTAAATTTTACATTAATAGGTATAACGGGAATTTAACGTCAAAATATTCAAAAAGCATTTACTACAGCAGCTGGTTGTACGAACGTGTCATAAGTCTAATGAGTCATTAAGTCTTCACTAGCATCATAAAGAGTGAAATGATCTTAAATTGTTTCTAAAATGCAGGCTTCCTACAAAAGACCACTAGCTATTTAATAAAAGTGAAGATTACTTTAAAACTATTTTGCGAGTTTTCATGAAAAGACAACATTGTCATAGTCATATGATATGATCTTAGTCGTTTTAAAACATGAAAACAGAATGTTTGTTATTTAGTTTTCAGTAGTAATATTGTTTTCAAGTAAAAAAAAATCCAATCTTTGCTCTTGTTCTGTTTTGTGTAAATGCTAAAAATTCTCTGTGATGTAACTAATTATAACGTCAGGCAAACACTTACATCGTAAATTTGCTTTCTTATTTCATTTTCACTACTCTAAAAAGTACAGGGTTAAAAGTTGTTTCTAAGATTCACTGATAAACTTTTCAGTACTTATTGACAAAGTTATTTACCATCTGCTAAAAATCAGATGTTTCACTCGCTGCGTAAGATTTTTTTTTTCTTTTTCGTTGCCTGTAGAATAAAAAATCAAAACACGCCGCGACAAATCAATCTAACGCAGTCGGTTTCTTATGTTTTATGGCTGTTGATATATAATACAACATGATTGACCGATGCAATGTCCTACTTTAAACCAAAAAGTAAAGCAGAACCATCACGACGACCGGATGCGTTTACAGATTTCAGTGTATGTTGAAAATACATCTGAACTTATGTACTTGTGTTTGAAAACTATCGCAACATTCATACAATGGTTTAGAACCTTTGATTTCGTCTATCCCAGAGCACCAGCGTTCTGGAATGTGTTGTTCGAGTTGAATGTGACAAGTATCTGTTATCAGAAAGGTGACATATTCGTACCTCTTATTTGACTTGAAGATTGTTTGAAGACCATTAACAGCCTCTTATCGGCAAGTTAAGAGAATAGAGATGCGGTGAATAACCTACAGTTGGGATCAGTCCTAATCTCTCTTAAAATCTGAGAGAACTGTTCTAGAGCATTCTGTAGAACAATTCTTCTGACAACATTTGAACAGTTTTCTGACAGAAGCATTTCTAACTTTGAATAGTTTTGAGCAGTTCTAACTAAAAACAGTTTAAGACAGTTCTATCTAGAACTTGTTCTGACATTTCTAGAACAGATCCCGACAGTTCTTTATCTAGAACAGTATGGAACATCTCTATCCATGTATTTATATATTTACTTATTTTATTTATTTTTTAATTTATTTTCTTATTTGATTTTGTTTGTTTGTTTGTTTGTTTGTTTGTTTGTTACTTTCTTCATGTTATATTTATTAATCTGATTCTTCTCTTTTTTATTATTTTATTATTCTCTTCTCTTATTCTATCTATGCCACTTCAAACAAAATATTCTGAGATAACGCCATTACTTAACATGTATAATCATTTTTATACTTATTGCTGATTTTCTTTCTCAAATTTTTGTTATTATTTTTTATCTTTACAACACTGTCATTTTTACATTACTGCTACAATTTAATAGCATTAATGACGGCCACCCCGGATGCCGGTATTGCGCCAGATTAATATCATGTTTTAAAAATTATTTTAATCACAATGTTCATGTTATCTAACATAAATATCTACTAATGTGTAGAATATAATCCTTTACTTAGTATATTCTTTCTTGTGTGTATTTTACCCTGACATGTCCTGGTGTCATCCTATTTGACAACTGTTAATTGTCCTCGTATACACCTGATATTACTATATCTATGTGTTTAGTTATCTCAATGTGTAAAAGCTGATGTTTTTCTCTGACTGTTATCGACGTGCCTTGGATGTGTACTGATTGATATTTTAGTCTTAGATACATGATTTTTTATTTGTTGTTATTGGCTTTGAACTAGCTGTCAGTAATTGCGAGTACTCTCAGATCTGTACTTTGCGTCTTTTTGTTGTTGTTAGGGTTGTATAAATACCCTGCCACGTCCGGTCTGTGTTTTTGTTAGATGTTTTTTTCTGCTTTGTATCGATCTGATGATTAAGCCCTTTTCAACTGATTTTTATAGTTTGTTTTTATGTTGTACTGTTACACCACTGTGAGTGTCCAGGTTAGAGAAGAGTTGGCGCCTTCAAACACGTTTAACCCCGCCACATTATTTATGTGACTGTCCCAAGTCAGGAGCCGGTTGTCGGTGGTTCATATCTGTCTTATTTGTTTTTCGTATATAAATAAGGCCGATAATTTTCCCAATTGAGCCTATCATAGCCGACTATACGGTATGGGTTTTTCTCATTGTTGAAGGCTTTGTACGGTTGTCTATAATTGCTTAAATCCACTTCATTTGAACTTTGGTGGATAGTTGTCTCATTGGTAATCACACCACAGCTCCTTATTTTTGTACAAATTTGCATTAATTCAATTGCACCGTAGCTAAAACGTCCTTAGAGAATTGTGATTTTCTGCATGCATTGGATTTGACTAAATTACCTCAATAACATACATGCATTTACATGATAATAACGACAATATATCACTTGAATTTTATATAATAATTACGGAAATACATGAAGTATATTTCCACACTACTTAAGCATTATTATGTGCAAATAAAAAATAATTATGATAAACAATTAATTGTAAACATGGAGAAATAACTGAAAAACAACATACATTAAAGACTGATTATTTTTACTATTTAATCCTTAATTTATCTAAAATACCAGGAAGATGCATCTAATCGTCCATGTTCTAAACCACAGTCAGAGAGCTGCTCTAATGTACGTCATTTAGAACTATTTTATCTGGAAAAGAGCACGACACTTCTACCTAAGAACAGATTTGGACAGTTCTAACCAAGAACTCATCCTGACATTTCTACCTAAGAACAGTTTTGAAAAGTTCTACCTTAGAACTGATCCTGACAGTTCAATCCTAGAGATTCTGACAGTTCTACTCTATAACTGATCTGACAGTTCTACTCCAGTACAGTTCCAGGGTAGAACTGTTTCGAGCATTTCTATGACATATTATTCTGACGGTTCTAAAGAGAGGTTATAACTATTTCCAACTGTACTTTCAAACCTAACATTAGGATATCTGTCCAACTTATGTTGTCAGATGTACGTGCAAGATAGTTAGTGGATAATTGGTTGACAAATCTGATATCTCCTTCCAAAATTGAGCTCTTAATCAAAATCCAAATTGAAAGCAACTCAATTGTGCATCTTGCGCAACCATAACCTGTCAAATCAACCCCTAAATTGTTTTCATGTGTGCTCTAGATTTGAATCACTGCAGGCAGAGATTGCATGTGTCACGATAGGCAGTATTCTTCGCATCATGTTGGCCTATTCCATTTGTTATGTTCCATGAAGACGAACCAATGATGAAATCTTAAAGTGAGGAAAGTTAGATCCGGTGAGGCAGTTCGAAAACAAAGTATCGTCAGTTCTTTCTTTACCAAAGTTTGACTGTAGGTTGACAACTTACAATTTACATTAGAGATGTTGGGCAAAAACATACAAACATTTGGAAATCCTACTCGTGAGACTACTCAAGTTTTCAAAAAGTTGCTTTACAAAGGCACACTCAAAAGCATATATATGTTGATCGAAATTATGACGTAAAATTCCTTAAAATCAGCTAAAAGAGAGCCTCGTACCACGAGAGAAGCCAGAAATGTTTCAGACTGATTCTTAAATAAACAAACATACATTTATTTATTTTTTGGTTATCTCATAGTCCAATTCAGTCCCAGTAAACCGTTTTATTGCTCCCTGGATTCCAAAATTGTGTTTAAGTTGTTTCAGGTCAGTGGGTCGTTGAAAGTGCTAAATTTTCTAAAAGGATACAGTATTATAGTATTATAAGGACAGTAGGTGTTTGCCTATACACTCATTTGTGTTCTTCTCTCCCTGAAACCACTTAATATATAGTTCTTCTTGTCGCATACAATCGCCCCCTCCATTGGTGTGTCACTATCTCGTCTTTCTTTAGGACGGTGTATAAAGTGTTTAAAGATCAAGCACTTGACTTCAGTGATTATGACAATTTGGGAGTTTCGCCAAAGATGCTGACACATCTTGCGCTTAACGGTTTGTGGCGAGGCTTTATGAGCAGAAAAATAATAACGCATCCTACAAGCACAACATAAACACATTTCAAGTGTGATACGATACTGGTCAGATTGGCAGCCTCAAAAAACCGGTGCTTCGACATCATATCCCTCATTGCCTCATTCCTGAACAAAATGTGGCATGCGTCTTGTCTGGCTATAAACCACTACTGCCTTCGCCATTTGAATACGGATAGAGAACTGTCAAAAATTCTCTGTGTCGTGTAAACTTTGAGGAAAACATGTCAGCAGACATTTTTCATGATTTCGTGTTCCTTTAAGGGGAGACTACACTGTTAAAAGTCTTGTGTTTGTGCAGAGCAGAACCTTGCATACACGGACTTATGTTCCTACCAACTCGGTCATAATCATGTAAAAGCGTTTATACACGCTCACGGAAATCGAAATATTACTTATTTCAATAACTATTATATGAGTAAGATAATACATTTCGCCTTTTTTACAAAAGTATAAGTCACATCAATGTAACTGAACATTTTACAAATGATTGATTGATTGATTGATGTTTCTTAATTTTCAGTGGCAAATATTTCATGCATGTTCAGGAGAAGAAAAAAATAACAATAAATACGTATACTATAGGTTGGTCCTGTATTAGAGGCCGTCCGAGAAGAAGGTCGGGGAAATTCGGACTGCCATTGGAAACTCAGGGTATATTGGATACGGACAGAAATGTTGCCTTGCAACAGGCCACCTACGGACACCTCATGATACATCAGAGAGTTGTTGCAAGGATTCTTAACGTACAAAGTTTCTCTACACGAGGCATCGGATTTAACGTCCTTATTCTGATCGGACGTGACTGCGTACTTATACATCCCGCACAGCCAAACGGACGCCCACTTTGGTAATGGTTTGACCAAAGTGACCATATTCCTATTCCCCACACACCCCTGGAAGCTTTGACAAATGATAAACTGAAGGTAAAACCAAAATATTTGAAGAAAATTTTAAAAGTTGCAGAAAAAGTTCGGCCGCATCAAAGGCTTTTTTAAAGTTACATGTATGGCATGCGCATGAATGTATTCCACTATATCTCTATTTGTTGGATTAATGTTGAAACATATGGGACTATCATAAATTATGACAAAATTTAACACGAAACCAATCAGCAGATCAAAGTACTTCAGCTACCCTATCTGAACGCTTATCAGGCTATTTATTATCTGTCATATACAAATTCACCATTCGTAATAATATTGTTTATCAGAACCAGCTATTGACTTTTTTGTTCATGGTCTGAATAAGCATTGTGTCTGAAACTACTTTACTTTACTGTACATTGATGCTTGGTCAGCATTGTAAACAGACTTACATAGCGTGGTCGCGAAATGAATAATAAGGTCTCTCAAAAACGGACAGATGATACCAAAGCGGGAAATAAATCAGTTAGAACTGGGACTATTATATACTAGTATAGTATTAGTATAATAGTCCCAGAACGACATGAGACTACTATTAGACAATAGTCTCAGAAAAGACAGGTCGATCGACAACATGATCAGATAAAACAGACTAACAAACAAATAAAAGTCAACAAAACACTTCAAATTAATCAAAAGAGTATTACTAAGCAATATGATCACCTCCAAAAACTGGGGTTGAACTAATATGATCCGAAAGGGACTAGTAGTTCCTGTTCCACAGATGAAACTCGTATGTAAATCCTTTTAAAATCCGTTAATGAAACATACCCGTTATAACAGTATCATCTTAAGGAACATCAGGTAGAGGTATCATCTTCAGGAACATCAGGTAGAGGTATCATCTTCAGGAACATCAGGTAGAGAGCCGAAGTCGAACCTTATAATTATACAACCCATCAACCTTAGAAAAGAAGAAATTTCAATCCAAAAAATTTCAAACATTCAATAAAGAACATAGCTGAACCAATCAAACAACAACTGGAAGAGAATCTCTCCAACAAAGATACATTGTACGTATGAACAACAAGAGTCTTCATTTGGTAAGGCTATAAACCAATCCATAAACATGTTCAAAGTGACAAAGGTTGATAGCAAACTTATATAACCAGAGTTCGCATAATTAAAAAGCAGGCGCAGATTTTATGCTGAGGAGATCACCAAGCTACTGTAGTCGATTGGGTTGTTCAAAGAGCAGAATCGCTAAAAAAAAACTGCCAAAAGCAAACAGGTTGCCAAGGACCTGATAGGAGCCAGCACAGACTAAATATTAGTGGCATTCACAGATCATGCAGATGGTTCTTGTCAGGGTAAACCAGGACCAGGGATAGGAACAGTTAGTATATTCTGGAAATAGCCCAGGCATCAGTTTTAAGAAGCCAGTAGCTAGTACAAAATCAATACTACTGGATTACTAAGTAGATATTCTAATGGTTTTGGAGAACTGCAAAACAACAATTGAAGACCAGTTCACTGAGGTAAAAATCATATCAGATAGCTAAACTTCTGTAGGCATTTTGACTCTAAACTGGCAATCTTCGAACTATATATCGACACAATAACAGACATTAGAGAAATAATATGGACACTCTTGAGGCATGGCATTCTAACAACCTTTATCTTGGACATGTTGGATTCCTGTTCATGTTTATATACATGTAGCCGTGAAGGAGATAGCAGACTAGTTTGCAAAAGATACTCATCCCTAAAGACCAATATAATGGCTTAACAACGTCAGGAAGGGAAGTGCAGTCAAGATGTCAATAAAATTGAAATGAGAAAGTAGATGGACCATAAGTGAAACCATGAGAGACAACTTTTTGAACTGGTACTTATTGTTGGAAAGGCTGTCCAACTTGAGGTACCAAACCCCTAAATAGGAAAATATTGTCGGAACTAAGATCAGGTTACAACAGACTGAATGCATACCACAAATCAAATAGTCAATCTCTGACGCCATATTGTGAATGTAGTGAAGAAGAAACATAAAGAACATGTTAAATTGTATTGCCCAAGACACCAACTGGTAAGAGAAGACATGTTAAGACAAATGAGGACAATGAACATTCCAACAGACATGAAATCAGTATTGTCACCACCAAAGAAAAAAAAACTATGAATAAGTATTCAATTCAATTCAAAATATTTTATTGTTCAAATATCAAATGTACATTTAAACAAAGGGATTGGACAAAAGGCAATGAATTAGTGTCTCAAATTGTAGGTGAAAAGTAAAATAACAAAAATATCGAACTCCAGGAAAAATTCAAATCGGAAAGTTACTTATCAAATGGCAATATCAAAAGCTCAAACACACAAAATGAATGGAAAACAACTTCCATATTCCCGACTTGGTACAGGCATTTCCTTGTGTGGAAAATAGTGGATTAAACCTGGTTTTATAGCCAGCAAAACCTCTCATTTGTATGACAGTCGCATAAAATTCCATTATATTGACAACAATGTTTGAACAATAATAACAAACATAATAGGTAAAAATGTCAAAAATAGGGGTACAGCAGTCAACATTGTATTATAATCTTAATCACTATAAAACACAAAGAAAATCAAAACGGCACACAGACAAAGCACACAAGCAAAAACGAAAGACAAGAATACAAAAAATGACCACAACTCAACAACACAATGGCGGGATGCACAAGCACCGAGCCACGCCAAAAGGATATCACCAAAAAATCAGACCAAACAGCAAAGGCCAATGTCTTACAAAGACAAACCAAAGAACACAATAACATGTAATTTAAATGATAAAAAAAAACGTCAGTACCTAGAATCTATACTTCAAGACCATCATGTATTATTTTAGAAGTTGATACGGAACGTACATTTATCAACAAGGTCCTGGTATCCTCCGATGAACTTCCCCAGAAAAAGGACGAGACGTTCTTTGACAAAACCCTGGCTCATCAACTCTCTGCTCAGACACTGGTGACGTTTTATAAAGTCTGTGTTGCAGCTGCAAGCTCCAGAATACCGAATGAGCAAATACATACATATATGTAGTAAGAACAGGACAATTTCAAGTACTGACAAGTCCTGAATCCTGATCATGTTCTTAAACAGGTATATATAAGAATATGTACCATGAGAAATCACTTTGAGCAACGGCGTACATTATGAGGAAACCAAGAAATGCCAAGCTGAGAAAAGTTGTGATCAAGTTTGACCTACATGACCTAACTGGATCAGGATCAGCATTCAAATGACCCATTATACATATTTGACATGTCTAAGCTGTAGGCAGAGAACAGTCGTAACTTGCAATGATTGTGCCATATTGCCACGGAGGGTAAGCTAAACACGTAAATAGGTACATGTTGTAAATAAGTTTTGCTTACCATTCTTAATTGACAATTAGCCGCACATTCCTCTCCCAATTCGGGAATTAACCTTGTCTTTGTTGTACCAGGAATGGGATATCTAGAAAAAACAATCAATTCTTTGGTTCTAGTTCTTCGAAATATCTTCTTATAATATATAAACATTGACACAAACATTGTTCCACAAAAGACATAGACTAGTAGCATTTTTTATGCCAAATCACGTGACTTGTAAATTTAGATTTTCTGTCAATGTTGTAAGCGGTCATTAATGTTTTGTTTCATGTTTAATTTCAAAATAACTTGTTAGCGTAAAATGCTTTAATTTCCACTTGACAGATAGTTAAAGTCAAATTAAAGTTCCATTTAGTTAACTTGAGGTTAAAAAGTCCGGCTTACAGGTTATTGACATTTTTCAATGAGTCGAGCGGTAAATTGAAAGATGTAAACAAACAGAACAGTGAACCCAAGGACACAGCGATGGATTTACAAGATTTGTTTGTTAGTTGCAAGCGTGGAGATCTACAAAAAGTGCAGTAAGATTTTTTAAAAGAATGAGTGTCTCATTTTGTTTATCTGAATAAATTTACATTGTAGAAGTATTGATAAACATGCTCAAATTGCATAAAAATATTGGCAAATTTCCAGTTGCATGTGCGTTATACTAGTGAGATGCGGATGCTGATATGTAAATTTAAGAATGAGAATCGCCAAGCAGGAATATCCTGCCAATTTGAAATGAAATATGAAATGATTGGCACTGATTTGCATTGACATGAGGGTTAGTACCATACTTGTTTTCATAGTACATGTACATTGTGCATTCTTGGGTAGTCCAAATAATTATTTGGACTAATTCTTGGGTCAAAAGAGTTTCACATCTTGGATTATTCCCCTATATTAATGTTTATCATATACAAATTCATTTTTTGCAAACATTGTCCAAAACTTATTTCAGGTCGGATTGTGGTGAAACTTTTACAGTTAATTTAAACTCATAAATATGTGTAGTTTTTTTATGGTTATGATAAAATAATTTTATGACATCTCGTTACCATGATAACTGATCATGAGAAATCTTTTTTTTTTTTGAAAATTGAAATAAATTGTATTTTTTTCCAAAATAGCCATATTCGGCTGTTGTCTGCTCTATGGTCGGGTTGTTGTCTCTTTGACACATTCCCCATTTCCATTCTCAATTTTATTTTATATATTTTTTTGGTATGCAGAAATTCACAATTTTCTTGAAACAGTGCTTTCTTTACAAATATAAATTATAAACTTATAATATATTTATATGAAAGATATAGCGAAAATTTATAAAGGGTAAATGCTCAGATTGTACATTTAAAAACAATTTCAATTTTCATCTAGGTTACATTTGCATGTACAAAATATATCAACCAAAGCATTAAGGATATACAATGTATATAGGTACATCCTTAATCCTCCTCAATCTAAAGGCCTGTTGTCATAACTAATCTCTAGGGTAATTTAGCCTTATATTTTATCAGTTAATTTTATTTCAGTACTGGTAATGGAATAAAAGTTTTCTATGTCCTTAGTATGGATTGTATTTACTGTTATCACATGTAAATTTAGCTAACAACTGAATTGTCTTATATGTCATAGGTTTCATGTTATGACAGTTGGATGGGAAAGCATAAAGATACATGTCTCAAATAAAAATTTGCTAAATTAGAGACGATATTTAACAACAAAGATTAACTCTGTGATACATAAATTCATTATCAATTGATCTTTAAATATTACACTTTTAAATTTTATTTTTGTAATTTTTGTCACAATTCTATGTCTGTAGTCAAAACAAGAGATTAGCCAACTAGTTCTGATATAAAAGCATGACAATCTGGAATTTGCCTGTCAAAGGTAACAAAAATTCTAAAATAGAGTTATTTCCCTTTTGCCACCAAGCAATAACTGAAAAGGCTAGTTAATGGTCATGATTCTTTTCTGGTGCTTTTTACATGTACATATTTAATATAACTATTTTGGTATAACTGTGTGGTTGACATTTACAAATGTCATATGCTGTATTGAGAACTGTGTGAAATAAAGTGACAGTATATGATATGCAACTCAGGTAACAACCTGAAGTTGATGTGTTGTCTAAAGGATTAGAATTTTTTGCTAGAATGATAAGATCACAAAATGAATTTAACCTTTCAGACCCTAAGTTAGATTTTACAGACAATTGATAAACATTATATTGCATTATGTCTGAGAAGTTGCAGCACTTAATGTATTTCACTAATGAATACATTTCTGAAAAAATACATTGCACATGGTGTAAATATTTGTGTTTGAAGAAATGACTATCAACAATGTGTGGATAATTAACAGTGTACAAAAATGTAGCACTACATATATATAATTAATGAAAGGATATTTTCATGTAAATTATTTTTTTCCCCAGATATTTAGTAGAGCAGAAAGAAATTGAACTAAATGTTCGAGATAAATGGGATAGTACACCATTGTAAGTACATATTTTTTTAATTCATACATTTTAATATTGCCTTAAAAAATTCTGTTTGCATTATTGGAGACACCATCCCTACTTTCACCTGTCTACATATTGTAAATCCACATTTCCATCCTGTTCTCTGAAATAAATTATAGGTGGTATTGAAAATTCCCTCATATGTACAAAAAAATGTATATTTCTTGTCAGATATTTTGAAAATTCAGAACTGATGCATGTGTTTCAACAAACACTACCTCCCCTCCCACTAGCCAGTCCTCATATGCTTCAATTCAATGAATGGCATGGGTCAGTGTGTGGTCTTCTTTATTTCAAATGAAGACCTCATTATACATGTAGATAACATTTTATCATTTCTGTAATTTGTTAAGTTTTTGTCTTATTATATATAATATAATTCTTAGCCAATTTATCCTTTTCCTGACTGATTATTTTCATTCAATCAACGTGTGGTTCTTTGATCTAGGTTATTCATTGGTCAAAATTCAATTATGATGACACATTTTCTTGCTTTCCTCTGAATTTCCTAATGTGACATCGCAAAAAATGCGACCATGTCTGATGACGTTACATTAAAAGAACACATCTTTTTGCAGATCAGTTGGAAAAGAAGGATTAGGTTTGTCTGCATATCGTCTAAAAATCATTAGAGAAACAGATTCTATCACCAAATCTTGTGCAATACTATTGAATAGGATATTTCTCCACTCAAAAGTTTAAATTTGAAAATTTAACTGTCTGCAGTGGAAAAATATCGTATCACACTTGATACAGTGGTAGAATTTATATATATTGTGCACCAGTACCGTATATATTGACGAGAGACGTTGTCCGTCTTGTCTGTTTGTTACTTTTGTCAGTGGGTTGCTGTCTCATTGATGTTACCCCACATCTTTTATTTATATTTTTCATTTTCGCTTCAAGCTCAACTGGCCCACAGACATCTGTCATCTGTTAACTTTTACAAAAATCTTCTCTTAAAATACCAGCCCATATGGAACTAAACTTGGCCACAATTATCCTTGTGGTATCAACAAGTAGTTTTTAAAATGTATCCTGTTATCCAACCTGCAAACCAACATGGCTATTAAAGCCTATGATCTTGAAAACTATTACCGAAAAAATTATTAAAAAGACAAATAAGTTAGCAAGGCCGAAATCCTTAGTTGACCCCTTTTAAGAGTTATTGTCCTTTAAAGATGATTTTTACCAATTTTTCCTTTTTGTCTATTATCTTGAGAACTTCAATGTATAATAAATTCCGAAAACATTTGAATTGCAAATTTTAAAATTGATTAAAAAGATTACTAAGATCTAATAATAAGTCAACATGACCATGATGACCGAAATTGTCAGTTAACACCTTTTGGAGTTATTGCCCTTAAATGGTGAGTTTTAACCTATTATATGAATTGGCAAAACTATAGTAGAGAGGAACTGTAAATAACAATAATGATCAGCAATACAAAATCAACAAAAAAAGATTTTAGTCATGAATTATATCTAGTCTATAATGTTCCAGAGTGGCAATTGTTTAAGGTGCTCATAGATCCAATTGAGCGACACAGGCTCTTTAGACCCTTTAGTTATGCATGCACCTTATATATCAACTGTTTACAACTGTTTACAATGTATTCTATGACAAGTTTATTGATTGAATTGTTTGGATAATTTCAAAGACTTTGTAATTTATCATGTTTATAGTGAAATTTATAATACAAAAAGCAGTAACAAATTCGCATGTATCCTATCTTTTGCATTCTTTAGCAATTATAAAGTTCTTCATTGTAGATACTATGTTTGTTTATGTGGGCATGAAGAATTAGTCAAATATTTACTAGAAAAGGGTAAGTTTTTTACACCTGTATATATGTCCTTTATTGTCTGTAGTGGCACACATAAAAATACTTAATTGACAGAAAAATACAAAACATAAACCTTAGAGACACAAAGTTGATATAGAATCAATGCAACTACTTGAATATTTTGTTGGTCACCACTTCAGTACTATCTGAATTGTCAACATATTATAATTTGGATAAACACTAAAATGTGTGCCCTGTTGTTCAGTGGTTGTTGTTTTTTGATGTGGTTAGTCTTGTTTCTCGTTTTTGATATAGATTAGACCGATGGTTTTCCCGTTTGAATGGTTTTACACTAGTCATTTTGGGGCCCTTTATAGCTTTCTGTTCAGTGTGAGTCAAGGCTCCGTGTTGAAGGCTGTACTTTGACCTATAATTGTTTACTTTTTACACATTGTGACTTGGATGGAGAGTTGTCTCATTGGCACTCATACCACATCTTCTTATTGAACTATATTTAAGAGGATACTTTTATGATTTACATAAATTTGTAAAATCTTATGTTAATTTATGCAGAAGAAAACTATATTTCTAAAATTATACAACCTAAAAATTGACCCATTTCCAAAATTTTAATTGTTAAATACATTTCAGTAAGTGTTCAGATAAAGCAATATTCATTTTCAATTGTTAAATACATTTCAGTAAGTGTTCAGATTAAGCAATATTCATTTTCAATTGTTAAATACATTTTAGTAAGTATTCAGATAAAGCAATATTCATTTTCAATTGTTAAATACATTTTAGTAAGTGTTCAGATAAAGCAATATTCATTTTCAATTGTTAAATACATTTTATTCATTTTCGATTGTTAAATACAATTCAGAAAGTGTTCAGATAAAGCACTATTCATTTTCAATCATGATCATGTTTGTCAATTGTTAAATACATTTCAGTAAGTGTTCAGATAAAGCAATATTCATTTTCAATTGTTAAATACATTTCAGTAAGTGTTCAGATAAAGCAATATTCATTTTCAATTGTTAAATACATTTCAGTAAGTGTTCAGATAAAGCAATATTCATTTTCAATAGTTAAATTCTCATTTTTCCTATATAACACATGTATTTGTAATTGAAATGAAGGAGCTAAATGTCAAGCCAATACGTTTGATGGAGAAAGATGTTTGTATGGTGCATTAAACAACAGGATTAGGAATTTACTGAGAACATATAATGTTATATCATCTAAAACTATGAGAAGAGATCAATATGAAGAATTTCTCAGGAGGTAAACAAAAGTATTAGTAGCATACTCTAATTGAAATCTTTTGGCAATCTATATTGATAATAAATTTTCCTGCAACATTGATGATAATCAAGTGCAGCTTATTTTATGATGCCATATGCATGACTTAGTTAGCAGGATGTGTTCAAATAAAGAAGCAACATTAAGCAACCAATAATCAATCAACCAGAGAAGCACATCGTAACAACTGACTTTCAACATTATATTTACCGCAGTTTGTAATAGTAAATACTTTTAGGGCTCAATAGTTTTTATTTGTCAATAAGACTGATCAGAAATATTTAAAAAGAAATTACAAAATATTGTATTGTATAGTAATTATATTATTGTGGTGATATGTAGATTAACAGAGAATGGTAGCTACAAAGATATAGTGTTTAATGTCCATGGAGAAGAGTTTCCAGCACACAGATGTATTCTGTCGGCACGATGTGATTACTTTGCCAATTTGTTTAGAACAAGATGGAAGGATAGACAAGAAATAGTCCTCAGTCATCATCTGGTAAGACAATCAATAGTTCTCTGTCATCATTAGATAAGACAATCAATAGTTCATCAGTCATCATTTAGTAAGACAAGAAAAAGTCCTCAGTCATCATTTGGTAGGACAATCAAAGGACAGTGATTTCTTTTACATCACAAATTTGGCCAGCATGTTTACATGGAGTGGCCGAAGAATCACTATTATTGTTGATCTGACAAGAATAATTTTTCAACACTACATCTATATAGAATAACAGTTAACTCTTACTGACTGAACTCTGTTGATTGAACATTCTACTGTGGTCCCAAACTTTGGTCAACAAAACTAGTTATACTTTTGCTCCTGTTTACACATTCTTAACCAGATAATCATTTTAATATCTTTTTTGTTAGGAATTGCTGTGAATCAATATCTTTGTGGTCAACAAGCTACTGTCTACCTCTAGAAATCATTACTTCGTATATTAAAAATAATGTTTAACAACATACATTACTGTACATTGAAGTCATTGACAAGACACAAAGTTTAAAAAGAGTATGCTTATATCTGCTTACATTCACATTTTTATCTATTTATTGCAATAGAAGGAATAGTAAGTAAGCACATTTTAAAACATTTTTGAAGCCTTAAAACTGATCTGTACATGTGGATGAGTATTCTGTGCAGTATATGTTTACTGACAAATTTATAAATAGAAATTTTTATAGCTGCAAAACCGTAGCTCATAGGTCCTTATGATATTTTTGACAATTTGCGGTCTATGGTCCGCAAATTGTCAAAAAATATCATAAGGACCTATGAGCTACGGTTCTGTAGCTAAAAATTTTACTGAGTTTGACTACATTCATCAATTTCATGTATTCTGTCATACCACAAATGTGATTTCTCCATAACCATTGAACTATGAAAACTACCTTGTATGAATTATCATAATAGAAATATGCATACAAACAAATGAAATATGAGTTTTTCTAAGTTTTAAGTGTTTTATCTACATTTGTAATTTTGTTCATTTTTCTTATAGATAACACCATCAGCTTTCAAATCCATTTTAGAGTATTTATATACAGGTATGTAATATTATGATTTATAACATTGATTTTTATGCCCCCACCGTTGAAGCAGGGGCATTAAGTTTTACTCTTGTCCATCCGTCCGTCCGTACGTCCCAAAATTGATTTCCGAACTACCTTTAGTTTGCCTCAACCAAATGTTATGAAACTTATACACTATGCTAATTACCACAAAACACAGATCAAGTTTGAATTTTGGTGGCGTCACTTTTATCATTCTAGAGTTATGCCCCTTTACAAATGGAAAAATTGCTGAATTTTTCGTTTCCGTTCTCTAACTTTAGTTTGCCTCAACCAAATGTAATGAAACTTATACACAATGCTTATTACCACAAAACACAGATAAAGTTTCAGTTTTGGTGGCGTCACTTTTACCGTTGTAGAGTTATGCCCCTTAACAAATTGAAAAATTGCTGAATATTTGGTTTCCGTTCTCTCACTTTAGTTTGCCTCAACCAAATGTTATGAAACTTATTCACAATGCGTATAACCACAAAACTCTGGTCAAGTTTGAATTTTTGTGGCGTCACTTTTACTGTTCTAGAGTTATGCCCCTTTACAAATGGAAAAATTGCTGAATTTTTCGTTTCCGTTCTCTAACTTTAAATTAAGTTTGCCTCAACCAAATGTTATGAAACTTATTCACAATGCTTATAACCACAAAACTCTGGTCAAGTTTGAATTTTTGTGGCGTCACTTTTACTGTTCTAGAGTTATGCCCCTTTACAAATGGAAAAATTGCTGAATTTTTCGTTTCCGTTCTCTAACTTTAAATTAAGTTTGCCTCAACCAAATGTTATGAAACTTATACACAATGCTTATTACCACAAAACACAGGTTAAGTTTGAATTTTGGTGGCGTCACTTTTATTGTTCTAGAGTTTTGTCCCTTTTGAAATGGAAAAATTGCTGAATTTTTCGTGTCCATTCTCTAACTTTAGTTTGCCTCAACCAAATGTTATGAAACTTTTACACAAAGCTTATTACCAAAAAACACAGATCAAATTTTAATTTTGGTTGCATCACTTTTACTGTTCTAGAGTTATGCCCCTTTACAAATGGAAAAATTCCTGAAATATTTGTTTCTGTTCTCTAACTTTAGTTTGCCTCAACCAAATGTTATGAAACTTATGCACAATGCTTATTACCACAAAACTCATATCAAGTACAAATTTGGGTAGTGTCTAGTGTCACTTTTACAGTTCTTGAGTTATACCCTTTATTATGTTATATGCAAGTCGGGGCATCATCTGTGTCCCATGGACACATTCCCCATTTATTTTTTATCCTTCAAAATGAAAATATTGTATTTCAGAACTAATGAACATGTACATCATAAAATCTATGTTAATACATGTACCTGTTAGGTTGATATTGATTTCGGTTCCCAAAACAACTGAATACAGTCTTCCAAGACATTCCTTTTATTAGGAAGTCTTAAATCAATTATGAAAGAAGAAAACAACTAAATTTTATTATTTACTTTGAAAGAAAGTTTCTTTCATATAGTAAGGCATAAATAGATGAATATTACCAATTTGTACCAGGATGTCAAAAAATCAATGCAAACAACTTAATACACATTTTGTTGTTTTGTAGGTAGACTTGAAACCCATATAGACAATGTAGATGACTGCCAGGTACTTGCCAAACAGTGCCAATTACACAATCTACAAGAACAGATTTATGAAAGATTTAAGAAAACACTTTCTTTTGGTAAGTATGTTTGTAAACTTTATAATAGGTGCATGCGATGATATATCAGGTCTTTAGTTCATCATCACATTACAGAATAATTCCAAATTGCTTTAACTACAAGGGGCATGGGTCGGGCATGATGAATTCTGATGAATGTGAACAATAACACTCACTTTTGAAATTCCTATTTAATGATATATCTATTGAATTCACAAAAAAATGAAAACAAAATGTTTGATAATTTCATGCGTCTGTTGCGCTTTTCAAAGAGAGGAGTCAGACTGATTTACCCACAGTCACCAGCATACTGTTAAAAATGATTTTAATTGATGAATTTATTGTCTGTAACTGATAAACTGTTGTAATATAGTTACATACCTATTAGTTTGGAAAAAATACAAGAACACACTTACTTTGAAAGATGGAAAGGTTAAACACATAAAATGTGAAATCAAAATATGTGTATACTGTACTTGCATACATGTATGAGGAAGATAAATCTTTTGTTAAAACATTAATTAAGCGTTCTTATTAAAAAAAGTGGGTTTTCAATTTGGTAGATAACATTTTTAAGTTTAAATTTATTGAGATATCTGAGATAATTTTTAAAAAAATTATACAATGATTAAATGTTCAGAATTAACCAAACCTGGTGTAAACGTGACAACCCTTGTACTGGAACAACCATTAGACAGTAAAGAACTTCAGATGGAACTCAGTAGACTTGCTGATTTAGCACTGCCTACAGAACTCTGTACACAGGTAAATTCTAATGTTATTATATCATATTATTTTCTGTACTTTTAACATGATTATAAGGAAGATTTACATTTTAGATATAAACTTTCACAAAAACATGACACACACACATATATATTCAACTAGATTTGAAAATTTTATAGTTGCTCTACATAATTATGGTGTCACATGGAGAGGTATCCTAGGCCTTCAAAGGAAAAGGTACTATAAGACCACTTTTTTTGGCCCCTTGAATTATATTTTAGTAGATCAAAAAGTATAATAACTCTGCTGAGTAACATCATTCAGATGTCCAATAGACATTACTCAATCAGACATCAGTATTTATATTTATGAATATTTTAAGTCTTCAAACTTCTTACATTAAGTTCAAAACAGTAAAAATGACGAAATAGCCTCATCTTGAGAACTTGTCATTAATATTGAGATATGAGCAACAGCTTTACCATAAAGATGTTTTGCTGCAAAAGGTATTTTACAAAGAATTTAATGTGTGTAAAATATCTTTTTACGAAGCTTTTGTTCATATATATTATGACCAAAAAGTATGCAGGAAATAGCCGTTTTTGTCAATGCATAATTTTGACATGTTTGACTTTCACACTAATGTTCTTTTATGAAACATTCAGTTTCATATGGTTTATAATCTCTCTTATCTTTCATAGATGCACGGAGAACTTCCCTTTGAACCTGAGTATGAATCTGTTTATCCAGATATTTGTTTTACTGTGGAAGGCCACAACTTTTTGGGTCACAAAGTAAGTAATGGTTCATAATCTATAAGTCTTTTTTTATTCTTCACAGAAATAGTTAGTTGAATATTAAATATTACCAGAAGATTGATTGTCATGATCATACCTGCCAACAGTTGAAACCTTCAAAGAGGGAGATCTCCCCCTCAGCTATGACAGCTGAAGGGGAGATTTTGCACGAACAACATTTTCAAGATAAATATATGACCTGTTTATGTATTAATCTACAAAACACCATTAAGAGTTAATAAATATACTTTATTTCTTCAATTCATGATTATAATCTATACAAAGGTGTTTTTTTTTTTAGCCTTTTTCAATACCTCCGAGTCTCATAACTCATAACATTCCATATTTTGATTTTGTTGTGAGTCTCACACTAAGCATGCTTTCAAACATCGTACAGACCACCAGAAGAAATCGAAAAGTTGATTGACCATAATGTGCAAAAAGATTCATTGCCAAGTGAACTTGGTCGTAAAAATTGAAAATCTTTCATTCAAATCTGCTTGACATTTCTTCTTTTTTACACTGCCGCTTGGTCCAGACAAAGACTTCTATCTTGTTGGAGTTGACATAGCAGAACTGAATTTCGATTACTTGTATATCGAACATAAAAAACTACTTCAAATGATCGCCGATTGTTTATTTATTTCTATTGAAAGTAATGAAAAAGCCAGAAAATTACGAATGTGGGTTATTCCACATCAAAATATCCAAAAGCGGGAGATTTTATACTCCCACCCGGGAGCGGAACGGCAAGCGGAAGATTTCCGGAATTTCATTGTGTGCGCGGGAGACTCCCGCTCAAAACGGGAGGGTTGGCAGGTATGCGTGATAATGATAATATTGATTTAAAATGAAGCTTAGAAACGGGAAGAAATGAGAGAATAACAAAGCATTTCTATTCTGTGTTGTGAATACAAAAATATATATCTGCAAAACTGATTGGTATTCCTTCTATATTAAGGAAATGTTAAGAACTACACAGAACAAATGTTTTTGAGATGAAATGGTAGCTTGAGGCATACATTAAGATGATGTAAAAAACTTTTGCAAGCATGTAATCTTCCTGAAATTACATTCTATTAACAATTGTTCACACAGAAAACTATTATAAAGTGATTGGCCTAATTACAATAAACAAAGAAACCCTTTCCTAAATAGGGACATCTTAAAACTTGACATTGGCATGGACACCTGTTTAATGTTGAAGACCCTAGGTTAAGTTCTAGATGTTCTTTTGCTATATATTTTCCTGGTTTGATTGCTGTCATATAAATATACATGTATAAACCAATAATCTTTGTTTATATTTACATTGAAGTAATACAGCTAAGTCCCCCAAAAAATCATAAAATCTCAAATCTTATTACACTTATAGCTTAAATAATAAAAAAATTACTGTGAAATACAAAATTTGATAATATTCCTCCATAACAAGATAGTATGTATGGAGAAATTTTAATAAATGAACGAGATAAAGGAAATCTTAAGTTTTTTCTTTTCAATATCTTATTTAGAAAATTCTGTTAGCTCGCCTCCAGAATTTGAATGTTGAATAAAAAATTATTTTGATGCTCATTAATAAAAAGATGAGATTAAAGATATGCTAGACATTTATATGTCAAACCAGAAATACTTGGGATTCTTTTATTTTCAAAAGTGCATTGAATTAGTTTATGATCCAGAGATACTATATTATACATTATATATATATTTGCTTTTCTCCTCGCTTGGCGTCCATCGTCCGTTGTCGTTAACAAAAATCTTCTCCTCTGAAACTACTGGACCAAATCGAACCAAACTTGGCCACAATCATCATTGGGGTATCTTTTTTAAAAAAATGTGTCCGATGACCGGCCCGCCAACCAAGATGGCCACCATGGCTAAAAATAGAACATAGGTAAAATGTAGATTTTGGCTTCTATCTCTGAAACCAAAGCATTTAGAGCAATTTGACATCAGGTAAAATTGTTCAATAGGTCAAGCTCTATCTGCCCTGAAATTTTCTGACAAATCAGACAATCCTTGTTGGGTTGCTGCCCATGAATTGATAATTTTAAGAAAATTTTGCAGGTTTTGGTTATTATCTTCAATATTATTATAGATAGAGGTAAACTGTAAGCAGCAATAATGTACAGCAAAGTAAGATCTACAAATAAGTCAACATGACCAAAGTGGTCAATTGACCCCTTAAGGAGTTATTGCCCTTTATAGTCAATTTTTAACAATTTTTCATAATTTTTGTAATCTTTTACAAAAATCTTCTCCTCTGAAACTACTGGGCCAAATAGAATCAAACTTGGCCACAATCATTATTAGAGTATTTAGTTTTAAAAATATGTCTGATGATCTGGCCTGCCGACCAAATTGGCCGACATGGCTAAAAATAGAACATAGGGGTAAAATGCAGTTTATGGCTTATATCTCTGAAACTAAAGCATTTAGGGTAAATCTGACATGGGGGTAAAAATGTTCATCAAGTTAAGTTCAATCTGCTGTGACATTTTCAGACTAATCAGACAACACGTTGTTGGGTTGCTGCCCCTGAATTAGTTATTTTAAGGAAATTTTGCAGTTTTTGGAAATTATCTTGAATATTATTATAGATAAAGATAAACTGTAATCTGCAATAATGTCCAGCAAAGTAAGATCTACAAATAAGTTAACATGACCAAAATTGTCAATTGACCCCTTAAGGAGTTATTGCCCTTTATAGTCAATTTTTAACAATTTTTCGTAATTTTTGTAACCTTTTACAAAAATCTTCTCCTGAAACTACTGTGCCAAATAGAATCAAACTTGGCCACAATCATCATTAGGGTATTTAGTTTTAAAAATGTGTCCGATGACCCTGCCTGCCAACAAAGATGGCCGACATGGCAAAAAAAAGAACATATGGGGTAAAATGCAAGTTTTGTCTATTATTCTGATAACCGTTATAAAGAGAGGAAATCTGAAGGGGTAAAATTGTTCAGAATGTTGAGCTCTGCCAATTATCCATATACGTCAAAATTGTCAGATGATTTCCTGTAGGAGTTATTGCCCTTAAATGACAAATTTTACTACTTTTTTTCGATTTTTGTCTATTATCTTGAAAAGTATAAAAGATAGAGAGAAACTTTAAATTACAAAAATGATCAGAAGGACAAGTTCTACAAATGAGTCTTATGGTTGAAATCATCAGTTGACTCCTTATTAGAGTTGATGCCGATTTGTACAATTTTTTTTGCGTTTTTGTCATATATCTTAAAACTTATAATAGATAGAAAGAAACTTAAATATACAAAAAAAATCAACAAGACAAGATCTACAATTAAGACAAATGGCGGAAATTGTCCGATGGATCCTTATTGGAGTTATTGCCCTTTAATTACGATTTTAACCATTTTTTTGGCGTTTTGCCTTATATGATAAAAATTTTAATAGATAGATAGAAACTTAAATAATCAATAATGATAGGCAAGACAAGACCTACTAACATGTCAAATTTGCTGATATAATTTGTAGACTATTACTCTTTATAGGAGTTTTTTTACCCTCTTTTGTTTTTGGATAAGATCATGAAGATAAAGAGAAACTAAACAGACTTCAATGATCAGCAATATAAGATACAAAAAACCCCAGATTTTTGTCATTAATTCTATTCTGGTCTACAATGTTGGAGAGTGTCCTTTGTTGAATATGCATATAGACCAAGGTGAGCAACACAGGCTCTTGAGAGCCTCTCGTTTGTAAATTTTTGTAATCTTTTACAAAAATCTTCTTTGAAACTAATGAGACAAATGTAACCAAACTTGGCCACAATCATCATTAGGGTATTTAGTTTTAAAAAATGTGTCCGATGACCTCGCCTGCCAACCAGCTTGTCCGACATGGCTAAAAATAGAAAATAGGAGTAAAATGCAGATTTTGGCTTATATCTCTTAAACTAAATCATTTAGAGCAAATCTGACATGAGGTAAAATGTTCATCAGGTTAAGATCTATCAGCCCTGAAATTTTCTGACAAATCAGACAACCCGTAGTTGGGTTGCTGCCCATGAATTGGTAATTTTACAGAAATTTTGCAGTTTTTGGTATTATCTTGAATATTATTATAGATAGAGATAAACTGTAAACAGCAATAATGTTCAGCAAAGTAAGATATACAAATAAGTCGACATGACCAAAACGGTCAATTGACCCCTTAAGGAATTATTGCCCTTTATAGTCAATTTTTAACAATTTTTTGTAAATTTTTGTAATCTTTTACAAAAATCTTTTCCTCTAAAACTACTAAGACAAATTTTAACCAAACTTGGCCACAATCATCATCTAGTTTAAAAAATGTGTTTGATGACCCCTCCTAACAACAAACATGGCCGACATGGCTAAAAATAGAACATAGGGATAAAATGCAAGCGTTATAAATAGAGAAAATGTAAAGGGAGCAAAAATATTCAGAATAATGAGCTCTACCAATTGTCCATATACGTCTAAACTGTTAGACAAATTCTTATAGGAGTTATTGCCCATAAATGACAAATTTTACTATTTTTATACGACCGCAAAAAAAATTTTGTGGTCGTATATTGGTATGACGTTGGCGTCGTCGTCCTCCGAAGACACATTAGTTTTCGCACTCTAACTTAAGTTTAAGTGAATGGATCTCAATGAAATTTAATCATTAGGTTCAATATCACAAAAGGAAGGTGGGGAATGATTTTGGGGGTTATGGTACCAACAGTTAAGGAATTAGGGGCCAAAAATAAGCATTTTTGTAACTTCCAGACATAACTTGTGTGTAAGTGTATGGATCTCTCTGACATTGTACCACAAGGTTCCATATCACAAAGGGAATGCTGAGATTGATTTCGGGGGTAATTGCCTCCAAATTTTAGGCATTAGGGGCCAAAAAGGGGCAAAAAACAAGCATTTTTCTAGTTTCATGACAATAACTTGTGTGTAAGTGTATGGATCTCTCTGACATTGTATCACAAGGTTCTATATCACAAAGGGAATGCTGGGATTGATTTTGGGGGTAATTGCCTCCAAATTTTAGGAATTAGGGGCCAAAAAGGGGCAAAAAAAAGCATTTTTCTAGTTTCATGACAATAACTTGTGTGTAAGTGTATGGATCTGTATGAAATTGTACTACAAGGTTCCATATCACAAAGGGAAAGCTGGAATTGAGTTTGGGGGTAATTGACCAAAACGTTTAGGAAGAAGGAGCCAAAAAGGGGCCAAAAATAAGCATTTTTCTCGTTTCCAGACAATAACTTGTGTTCAAGTGTATGGATCTCTCTGAAATTGTACTGCAAGGTACCATACCACAAAGGAAAGGCTGGGATTAATTTTGGGGGTAATTCCCTCAAAATTTTAGGAATAAGGGGCCATAAAAGGGCAAAAAAACAAGCATTTTTCTAGTTTCAGGACAATAACTTGTGTGTAAGTGTATGGATCTTTATGAAATTGTACTGCAAGGTTCCATATCACAAAGGGAAAGCTGGGTTTGAGCTTGGGGGTAATTGACCTAAACGTTTAGGAATTTGGGGCCAAAAAGGGGCCAAAAGACAAGCATTTTTCTAGTTTCCAGACAATAACTTGTGTTCAAGTGTATGGATCTCTCTGAAATTGTACTGCAAGGTACCATACCTCAAAGGGAAGGCTGGGATTGAGTTTGGGGGTGATGAATCATAAGGGGGTTCAAAAAATTTGGGGGGGTGGGATATTTTTTCCTTTTTTTTCTTTAAAATTTTCCATTTTAAATTGGTTATTTCTGATTTATATATAAAAGCAAATAATAATGAGATGGTTTGAATATGTAAATTAAATTTTTTTAAGTTCTTAGACCACATTCATTCTGTGTCAGAAACCTATGCTGTGTCAAATATTTAATTACCATCCAAATTCAGTGCTGTATCAAGCTTGAATGTTGTGTCCATACTTGCCCTAACTGTTCAGGGTTCGACCTCTGCGGTCGTATCAAGCTGCGCCCCAGCGGAGCATTTTATTCTAGTTTCCAGACAATGACTTGTGTTCAAGTGTATGGATCTCTCTGAAATTGTACTGCAAGGTACCATACCACAAAGAGAAGGCTGGGATTGATTTTGGGGGTAATTTCCTCTAAATTTTAGGAATTAGGGGCAAAAAAGGGGCAAAAAAACAAGCATTTTTCTAGTTTCAGGACAATAACTTGTGTGTAAGTGTATGGATCTTTATGAAATTGTACTACAAGGTTCCATATCACAAAGGGAAAGCTGGGTTTGAGTTTTGGGGTAATTGCCTTAAATGTTTAGGAATTTGGGGCCAAAAAGGGGCCAAAAAACAAGCATTTTTCTAGTTTCCAGACAATGACTTGTGTTCAAGTGTATCCCGTACGAAATTATAAGGCGTATTACGCCTGGAAATCTGGCGTAAACCAGGCGTAAGTGGTAGTTACGTGTCCAGATCCAGGCGTAAGGGAACAGGAAACGTAAATTTGTAGTCCTTACGGGCGTAGAAAATATGGTAAACCTGGCGTAAATTGAAATAAGCAAGGCGTAAATTTTCCTACGGGCGTAAAACTGTTGGTATGGCGTAAATCATAATACCCATAATGCTTTGTTGATAAAGGATCATGGGATTTTTTTTTCAAAATTTTTCTCCTTGGTATTATTTTGCAAGAGTTGGACTTATGGCAGCTTTATATATTCAGGGATAATTAAGCTTGTTTTGTGCTTTTTGGAAGAATTTGAAATTGGAATTATGGAATCAAATTGATTAATGAAAATTGTGAAATAAAAGGAAAGTAATATACATTGTAAAAGATAATTATGTGAGTAACTAAGTTTTATTTTTTAACAGTAATTTTGAATTCTGAAAACCTTCATCCTTGGATGATAACATTAAAATCTTTCACATTAAGTTAAATTGCAGTATTATCATTGATATTTTGGTTCAAATGACATTAATTTTAAAAAAACACTTAGTTAAAATGCTGGTTTTATTTCAGTAAGAATTAATTGTCATAATTCTAATTTAAACTTAAACTTATTTGAGCCAGTGTCTGTCTAATATGTATATATTTATTTATATAGCTTCATCAATTAATGGTTAATATTTCAAGTTTCATGTCAAAAAATGAGAAATTTAAGCAATAGTACAGAAGTTTGTATCAAATACACAAAAGTACACAGCTAGGGTAATACACTGATTTAAAATAAGTGTAGTATTATGTAAGGATATTACGCCTGCTTTTTTTATTGAGAAGGCGTACTCATTTGCATATAACGCCTGGTTTTCTGTGGACCAGGCGTACTCATTTAAATATTACGCCTAATTTTACGCCTGGTTTCCGCCTCAGTTACGCTTGGTTTCCGCCTGGTTTACGCCTGGTTGACGCCTGGTTGACGCCTGGACATGCATTCTCTAAACACTACAATGACGCCCTGATAAAGTATGATTTCTACGCCTGGTTTCCGTGTCATTTACGGGCGTCCCATTTCGTACAGGATGGATCTCTCTGAAATTGTACTGCAAGGTACCATACCACAAAGGGAAGGCTGGGATTGAGTTTGGGGGTGGTGAATCATAAGGGGTTTTCTTTTTTTTCTTTAAAATTTTCCATTTTAAATTGGTTATTTCTGATTTATATTTAAAAGCAAATAATAATGATATGATTTGAATATGTAAATTAAAATTTTTTAAGTTCTTAGACCACATTCATTCTGTGTCAGAAACCTATGCTGTGTCAAATATTTAATCACAATCCAAATTTAGTGCTGTATCAAGCTTGAATGTTGTGTCCATACTTGCCCCAACTGTTCAGGGTTCGACCTCTGCGGTCGTATCAAGCTGCACCCAGCGTAGCATTTTATTTTCATTTTTGCCTATTATCATGAAAACTATGATATTAAGAGAGAAACATTTTTTTTCCGTTATGCCTTATATGAGTTAAATTATAATAGATAAATAAACACTTTTAATCACAAAAAAATGATCAGCAAGGCAAGATCTATTAAAAAGTCAAATTTTGCCGATTTAGTTAGTAGTCTGTCACTCTTCATAGGAGTGATTGCCCTTAAATGAGGATTTTTTTTACCATCTTTTGTGTTTTGAGCAAAAGCAAAAGAAGATAGAGAGAAACTAAACAGACTAAAAGATCAGTATTACAAGATCAACAAAATAGAGATTTTTGTCATGAAGTCTATTCTCGATTACAATGTTGGAGAGTGTCCATTGTTTGATATGCACATAGACCATGGTGAGCGACACAGGCTCTTTAGAGCCTCTAGTTTTTTGTTCATTTGTTCATCATGCCATCATGCCATTGCATTAAAAGGGTCAAATGTGCATGTTTTGTTAAGAGTTTTATGATAAAGTAAAATCAAATGGTTTTGAATTTAATCTTTTGTTGAATTTTCAGGCATTTTTCTGTGAAAGAAGTGATTATTTTAAAGCTTTACTCAACAATCATTTCGGAGAAAATGACACTGAAAGCACTATTCCTGTTGTCAGACTTTGTGAGGTCAACTCAGATATCTTCACAAGAATTCTGTATTATATATACCAGGATAGCTGTGAGGTAAGGTTCAAAGGTCATTCTGATGTTTTATATTCAAACAAGGTAGGTTGCTTAGCTACCCAGTATGCTATATTCAAGTCAAAGCTTCCACTGAATAAATCTGAAGCAGAGAATGGGTACCAATTTTCAAAACCAGAGAAAATAATTCAGAAATTATTAAGATAATTAGATTAAAAATGGGGGCTTGGAGGACGGTTATAAATTTTACTGTATTTTTTTTTTTGGTCGTAAAAATCAGTTGTGTTTACCTTTAATGGATTTGCTGTTTTAAGAAATAATTCCTTTATGTCATAATCCATTTTCATTTTAACAAGGGTAGGCATTATATTTGTCAATATTTTAACTGAGCATTAGCCAGGTGTAAAATATGGTCAAATATAATTCTATATTAATTTTAATAACAATATATATAATAAAATTATTATAAGCAGCTAAAATATATCTATTTTATACAGATGAAAATGAAAATAATGAGAATGTAAACAGTAAGTTTGTGCTCATGTGTCAAACATATTTTGTACTGGCTTTGTTAACAAAGCGAAATAACGACTTCATATTAGAATGAAAGATAATTTTATTTTCAATCTATTCTAAGAAATGACATATTAATAAGTATTGTTGGTTATAAAGATAACTATTTTTTAAGAAACAATGATATTTTGGATTAAATTTTGAAATATGTAATTATTGAAGAATTTTAAATCAAAAGAGTTCTTTGTAATAAAGACCAATTTTTTCTGGCTAGATTTGCATATTAGGATTTAATGGCCATTTGCACAACATATCTTAGTTTAAACATTAACTAGATAGATACTATGTCTTTTTTTGAAGATTTATGTAGCGTTGTTCTTTTTATAACATTAAAGTTAACATCAATTTCAATTTTACATATATCGTCTTAAATTCATACTGTGTTTATTTTTTATGTCAGTTATCTAAGTAGACTGTTTACAATGTTTTATGCATACTTGAACTTTGTTCCTGCTATCTGATAAGACTGTATATGAAGTTTATGCTATAATGATCTCTATTTCAGTTGTCCAACGAGACAGTGTTTAATGCATTACTAAACTCTATTTTAGCTATCTGAGGATACAGTATATGATGTCTTATGCTGTGCTGATCTTTATTTACTTCCTGGTTTGAAGAGACATTGTGCTAATTGTATAGCAAAACATCTGAATACCGTCAATGTTGTACAGGTTACAAGGACAGCAAAATTGTTTTCATTACCTCGTCTTGAAGATCAATGTGCTGAATTTATTGCTAATAATATTGAGAAGGTAAATATTTTCTATAGATTTCTTCACATTAAACTTTAGTTAAATTTAGATCAGATAAATGATTGAAGAATAAGATGGTGATATACTATAAGATACTATAAGGAATGAGAAGCAGATATCATGAAACCAGAAGTATCTAATTTTGTCTGTCTTATTTAGAACTTGATAGTATATGAACAAGATAATAAAATTTGATTCTGACAAGATAAATTATAATGTCATTTCGTTTTTTGATTGAGCTTTTCTCATCACTTGGCGTCTGTCGTCTAGTCCTTTGTCGTAGTCCATCGTCGTTGTCCATCGTCTTCGTTTTACAAAAATCTTCTTCTCTGAAACTACTGATCCAAATTTAACCAAACTTGGCCACAATTATCATTAGGGTATCATGTTTAAAAAAAATGTGTCCGATGACCCTGCCTACCAACCAAGATGGCCGACATGGCTAAAAATAGAACATAGGGGTAAAATGCAAGTTTTGTCTATTATCTTGAAAACCACTATTAATAGAAAAAATCTGACAGGGCAAAAATGTAGGATTGATGAGATCTACCTATTGTCAATTTACTTCCAATCTGTCAGACGACTTTTTATAGGACTTATTGCCCTTAAATAACGAATTTTACCAATTTTTTAAAATTTTTGCCTATTATCTTGAAAATTATGTAATAGGTAGAGAGAGATGCATATAGCAAAAAGGATCAGCAAGATATATACAACAAATAAGTCAACAAAGTTGAAATCGTCTGAAGACCCCTTATTGGAGTTATTGCCCTTTACCATGTTTACTGATGATTTTTACTAATTTTTTGCATTTTTGCCTTATATCTGAAAAACTATTATAGATTTACAGAAACTTAAATTGGCAAAAATGATCAGCAAGACAAGATATACAAATAAGCCGAATAGTTGAAATTGTCTAAGGACCCTTTATTGAAGTTATTGCCAATAAATGATGGTTCTGACCAAATTTTTTGCGTTTTTAGATAGAAACTTAAATTGGCAAAAATTATAAGCATGACAAGATCTACTATTAAGTCGAATAGTTGAAAATCATTGGACGACCCCTCATTTGAGTTATTGCCCAATAATGACGGTTCTGACCAATTTTTTGCATTTTTGCCTTGTATCTGAAAAACTATAGAAGATAGATAGAAACTTAAATAAGCAAAAATGATCAGCAAGACAAGATCTACAGATAAGTCAACACAACGTCCGATGACTCCTTATTGGAGTTGTTATCTTTAATAACGATTTTTATAATTTATGCGTTGTTGCCTACTATTTGAAAAACTATATTAGATAGATAGAAAATTAAATAAGCAAAAATGATCAGCAAGACTTGATCAACAAAGAAGAGATTTTTGTCATGAATTTTTATTCTAGTCCACAAAGATGGAGAGTATCCCTTGTTGAAGATGCACATAGACCTAGGTGAGTGACACATGCTCTTTAGAGCCTGTAGTTTATGCCCCCCATAGGCAAATGGGGAATTAAGTGTTACCCTTGACTGTCCTTCTGGCCGTCCGTCTTTCTGTCCGTCCTTCTGTCCTATTTTCATTTCCGCACTCTAACAAGTTTTCCTCATCCAAATTTTATGAAACTCGTACACAAAGCTAAAAAACAAAACTAGCACACAAGAGTTTGAATTTGGGTAGTGAGTCACTTACCGTTCTAGAGTTATGCCTCTTTTTAACTTTTTAAAATTGCAAAGCTTGAGAGGGGGCATTCCTGTCCTCGGACACATTCTTCTTTTATTAGTAATATAAATCATGTTAATTTATCATAAACAGATTTCAAGATAGCATTAATCTGATAATTTTTACAGATTAAAAGTCAAATAGAAATATTATATTGTAATTGAAATGATGTATTGAAAAAAAGGTATTGGAGGATCAAAAATTGTACCAGATTTATATAATAACAAGTTTATGTGTCCATAGGACACCATACCCCAGCTAGCACTTTTATATGTCCATGTTCAGTGAACCTTGAAATTGGTGTAAGATTGTCATTTAAATTTCACAGAGCAATAAAGTTATACTGTGATAAGGTTTTATGTATCAGTTTAGATATTGCAAGCTGTAGTGTGTCATTTCAGATCCTGGAACTGGAAGAGTTTGCAGAGTTGGTGAAACAAGATGCTGCTGAAGTGAAAGGTAGACAAGAGACGGATACCATAGATATTATTGACAATATTAGGTTTCATTTAACATTTAGTATACAGACTTATGGTGAGATGGAGGAAGCTAATGAAAAACTCAGACTTATTGATGATTTATTGGAAGAACTAGAACTTGAAGGCTAATTTTATATCATATTGATAGTTTATTCTTTAAAAGGAAATATTCTCAAGAATTTATGCAAGATTCAATGTTGGGTATTATTTGATATATTTATATAAATATTTATGCTACTGGAGATCGAATCAGGTACTACATATAATACTGGTATATATATTATACATTTAATGTAATGTAAAGTGATAATATTTATTGCTTGAATGAATGAATTCTTTATTTGCAAAGCAGCAGTTACATGCTATAGCAACACAATTATATTTACATTGTGACACACAATAAACAGCAGAGAACAATATTCTAAGATATTACAATAGACAAACAATCAACTAAGTAGATGTGATCTAATCTGCCAAGCAGATTTCAAATAATAACACAATTTTCCAACTAATGATCTTAGACTAGATTTTGTTTGATACAAATACCTTAGTTTTGTCATATTTGGCCACAAACAGTAGTACAATGTATTTTGGTAAAAACTGCAGCCTTACAAATCTATACATAGGACACACTAAAGTAAAATGGTACTCATCTCCAACACTTTTCATATTACAACAAGTACATAATCTGTTTTCTCTTTGTGTATTTGCTTACTGCCTAACCTCAACATTTAACTTCATAGTACCACTGCATAGCTTTGTGAAAAAGTGAGAGGTATAATTATAATCTACGTAATCTTCAAAGCAAAAATTTTATATTACTGTACATAGTAAGTTTCTCACAATTCTGTATAGATGCAAACCAGCTTTGAATATATTGATTTTTTATCCTAGTTTTTATAACATCTAATGATATGTTTATATCAGACTGCTGATACCATACATAGTTTAAACCAATACTAAACAACAGGTCACGAACATTAGAAACCCAATTATTTTTACCATTACTTGCCTCTCTGAGTAACAATATATAGATATCATACACAATAAGTGGTTTATGAGTTACAATATTTAACAAGTATTTTTTAATTTTTTGTTTTCTAATTAAAATTGAGAATGGATATGGGGAATATGTCAAAAAGACAACAACCCGGCCAAAGAGCAGATAACAGCCGAAGGCCACCAATGGGTCTTCAATGCAGCGAGAAAATCCCTCACCAGGAGGTGGTCCTCAGCTGGCCCCTAGATAAAAATGTGTACTAGTTGCATACATTGGCAAACACCCTAACTCGCCATACAAAAAACAGTTAGGGTTACTTTTATCCAGGTTCAAAATAGATCGACAAAAACGTTTATGGATAATTTCAACGTCATTTCCACGATGAAAACCCCAATTATTCAAAGCATAATTTATCACAGACGCAACCATATTTTCGAACAAGTGACATTTCTTTTTCTTCGTCAAGTATAAACCATTTGTAGAATTATTCAGACCTGCCAAAGATCGTGAACCTTGCAAGGCTAATAGCATCTTTGTTTTTTAAACATTTTCCATTAGAGTGAAAACAATACCAAGATGTAGGTACAAATCGACAATTTTTAGTTCTTCATTGTTGTAGAAAAATTTTGCAATTACCGGTTGCCAGCCATTTTTGAATACAACTACTTTCGTTTTGTTAATATTCACTTCTATATTCCATTTATTACAGTAAATAAGTAGTTTATCAAGTAGTTCCTGTAGAATTTCAGGAGATTTTCTAAATAATACAATATCGTCTGCAAATAGTATTAAGTATATCAGAACTTCATTAATACTATGTCAACTGAAGGATTAATATTGCTTGATTATAAATAAATAAGGTTTTGGCTCAACTTAAATAAAATCTTTGCTATACATCAAATCCTGTTGTTTTTATGAAAATCAACCATGAAAATAGAATGTACAGGTATTTATAGGTATTTTTTTATCCTGTAATTTTCAAAAGCCATGTTCATAGCAACAACATTTGTAAGATAACTGCAATTTCAGTGTTCATTTGTCTAGATTGATTTTTGTGCAGCCATTACCCAAAAGAAAATAACCAAAATTATTAGGAGAAAGACTGAAAAATCAAATATTCTATATAACACATGGCCACTTTTTTGTATTTCATAAATTCATAATAGCAATTTAAGTCTGATTTTTTTACTTTTCATTACAAAAATAGAAATTAGGAACCATTATGTTGAAATAGGAAAGTTGGTCCATTTACTCTTGAAACTACAAAAAAAAAACAACATCCTAAGCTACCTTAATCTTTTCTTTTTTAAGTCAAATTGTTTCAAGAACACAATAGTATTATAAAGATCTTTAAAAAATTCTAAGACAAGTTCTTTAAATATTACAGTTTTGGAGACCCTTGTAATGTCAGACATATTTACTGGAGCCTATATTATTTACATTAAAATTAATAAGTTTAACATTGAAAACAGTAATATCTTGAGTAAATAAAATTTTGTATCATAAGTGAAACAGTAATGAAGGAGGTATAATAAGAGCCATTATTTGGCCCCTGAAATTGCAACAAAAGAAAAATTACTCAAGACTTTCAAATGTATATTAATGATAGTAATAAATTTATAGGTTAATAGAATCTAGACACTTAATCAGGGTACTCACTAAGTCAGTTGTCTTTTTGAAGGCAAGTCCAGGGACTCATTAATTTTGTCCATGGGACATCCAACAATGAGAAGCATTTTTATAGCTATATGTTTAAATGTTTCACTCTCCATGACTTTAATAATAGAGCATGGAAATGACATTAGATTTAAATTATTTTTAAACTTTTGCTATCAAATGAGTTCAGACAGATTTTCAGGAGTCCATACCTCATGGGCTAGCCTTAGTGAGAACACTGCTTTAGTGAAGAAAAACCTGTGATGTCATAAACATGTTGAAATTGACATATTTGACCTAAAGTTACCAGTTTACTAGTAGTTTTTTGATAAAATTAATATTAGCTACTGCCTTACCCAAAAAGAAAATTTAACATCTGTGTAAAATACAATCTTGTAGAAAAATATCTTTGTGGATAAAGCTATTTCTCAAATCTAAATATTAATGACAAGATATCAAAATGAGGCTATTTTGGCAGTTTTTACTGGTTTGCTCTAAATGTAAGAAGTTTGAAGCTCCTAATAACAATCTGTTTATAGACAAAATTCAAAAATATAAATACTGATATCTGTCAGACTAATGTCTTTTGAATATCTGAAAGATGTTATTTCAGAGATTTGTGATAATATTTGATTTTCTATTTGAAGGGGCCAAAAGAATGGCCTTTAAATATCATACCTTGATCTGATAAATAACCTTAACTTTCAAATGGGAATACAACTCAAAATGGAGAGGCTTAATTTTACCTAGAGATTTCATATTTATTATAAATCACTCCCACTGGAGACCCCATTGAAACAAAGGACCAGTGTTCTCCCCAGACCATTAAAGGACCATGGGCCCGCGATGTATAATTTTTTACCGCGGTGGTATCGTTCTTACCGCGATGTATAATTTTTCTCCGTGGTGCTAAAATTTTCAGTTAAAAAATCGTAAATCGGTAAAGTGTTAAACGACTTGTTTAATCTTTTCCGTGCGGTATAAAATTCCAGGTGAAATTTGACCAGTTCAAACCAGTTCAACACGGATTGTTTACACCACGTGATCGATTTACCTTTATGAGGTTAACCTTTGTTGATTGGATGTAATCGATGTAATTAACACTTTTTACATGATTCTTTTGTGTTTTAATTTAGAAATCATAACTTTATGATCATAGATAACTATTTTAAGGCTTCACTCACCACCTGACAAGTCGGCAAATACTTTGTACACAAACCGTGTTGACCCGATAGTTGTACACACGACGGTATAAATTTTGTACATTATAAAGTTAGCTCAATACTTATATTATAGTTTTATATGTCTCTGATTAAACCATGGCCAAAATTATCTTTAATTATGACATAGTTATTGCATGATATTCCGGTTTCAAACTGTCAACAAGTAATTCAAAGGGGAAAGATCCCATGACCCAGTTAGTTCATGTAGAATATTCAAAATTATTTACAATTAACTGCAATCTATTCTATTTTATAAATAAAATGCATGACTGTACCTTCAAACTGGATATCTATATCCATATGATCATTAATGAATAACAGAAGTGATCTTGCAATTTTAATCCATAAGCACATGTTAAATCTATTTATATCTACTTCCTGTCATTTAGGCGGGAAAATAGGGAGACTTTGTTGTTGACATTGAATATGTTACTTATAGATCTATAGACCTAAGATAAATTTATAGATTTAGGAATTCTTTTTAAATGGATCATGACAAATAAAGATTTAGATTTCAGTGCAGTATTAAGTCTGTATCTATGCATATGTTTGATCATCACCAAAGACAAGAAAGGTTAATATTTACATGTACATGAAATCTATGGCAAAATGTTTTAAAATTTGTGAAAAATTTCTTTTTATTAAAATTTAAGATAGAAACTGGTTCAAATTATAACACAATTTTGTTCTTGTTAATTTTATATCTCCTTATGACAGGAATCCTTTCACATACAACAACTTTCTTTCTAGAAACTAGAAAGTATTTTTAAATTGAACATTTTTGTTCTCTTTTAAATCTGGGAACAGTATATCTAACAATATATATGTTCCTGTTTGAATGATATTTTATTTTTATTGATCATGGATAAAAGATTTAATTACTTTAAATTTAGATGAATATTATGTAATGAATCATGTTTTATTTATTTTCAAAAAATATTAAAAAGAATACAAACTGTTTTATTGATCTTTTTAACCAATAATATTCTGACATAACACAGTACCACAGTATTAAAACAAAACAAGAGACATAAAAACTGCAGTAACTAGAAATATAGCGACGCCACGCGACACAACTGATTGTATGAATCATTTCACCAAGCTGTTCACACGCGTTACCCTGGTGCTATCCAAAAATCCTGGGGAGAACACTGAAGGACCCATTAACATGTATGAATATCTATGATGATACTGCAAATAAAAAAAAAAGTGCAAATATTTCTTGGCTATTACAACAAAATTTTAAAGTAACATGTGAATTTTAAAATTATCCATTTGTTTATGTTGTTTGAAGCTGTAATAAAATCCCCACTATTAAAGCAAACATTTTATCCATAATAGAGAAAAAGCAATTTTTATATGACCGAAAAAAATTTGCGGTCGTTTTTTGGTATCATGTCGTCGTCCGAAGACACATTGGTTTCCGGACAATAACTTTTGTGTGTATGGATTTCTATGAAATTTTACCATAAGGTTTATGACCACAAAAGGAAGGTTGGGATTGATTTTGGGGGTTATGGTCCTAACAGTTCAGGAATAAGGGGCCAGAATGGGGCCCAAATAAGCATTTTTCTAGTTTCCAGACCATAACTTGTGAAATGGTGTATGGATCTCTCTGAAATTATACTACAAGTTACTATATCACAAAGGGATGGTAAGAATTTGCTTTGGGGGTTATGGCTCAAACTGTTTAGGAATAAGGGGCATAAAAGGAAGAAAAACAAGGGTTTCCAGGTTAATGGACAATTACTTAAGTACAAATCATAATTTTAAAGCAGTGTAAGGGAGGTAATTCAAACACATATTGTCAAATTACCTCCCTTACACTGCTTGTAAATTATTTATAAAGAAATGTATTGTCTTTAGGTGATTAGCTTTCAATTTATTTTTAGAAACTACTATTTTAAAAATGTTTAATAAAGGTAATATAATTATAGCCATGATTATGTATGTGAAGGAATTTTATTTTTAGATATTACTATTTAATGTTGCTGATGGAGGCTTTTTAATTTGA